AAAATCGAATTTTTAACTTGTGATCCGAATTCCCCCATAGGACTCTATCTGATTTATTTCATCGAATATTTTTTCAAATAAATGAACAAATAAATCTAATTAAACCTAATTTATTAATTGCTCAAGGTGATATAACAACTGCACTTGTGTCTGCTTTAGTTGCTGCATATAATCAAATTCCAGTTGCACATGTTGAAGCCGGTCTTCGAACATTTAATTTATCAAATCCATTTCCTGAAGAACTTAATCGAAAAATAATTGATTCATTTGCTAAAGAAGTACTTATTCGAGAAGGTGCATATGAAACAGATATATTTGTAACTTGTAATACTGTTATTGATGCATTTTATCAATATTATAAACACGAAAATCCAAATAAAAATAATTTAATATTAAGAATAATTGATAATTTTAAAAAGAATTCAATAAATAAAACTCATTCAGTTTTTATTGTTGTTACTATGCATCGAAGAGAGAATTTTCAATATTTATTCGATATGTGCCGTGCTGTAAAAACTATAGCTAACGAACATTATGAAAATAACTTAAATAATGTTAAAATTGTTGATCCAATATCATATGATATATTTGGTTATGTTTTATTAGAATCAGATATAATTATGGTTGATTCAGGTGGAATTCAAGAAGAAGCAGTTAGTATTGGTAAACCAGTTATACTAATGAGAATGACAACTGAAAGACCTGAAGGAATTTATCTTGGTACAATTAAACAAATAGGGATTTTTTATGATGATATTATAAAAGCAGTTAATGATAAATTGATAAATATTAAAATAACGAATCAAACATCGAAAAGAAATATCTTTGGTGATGGAATAGCATCAAAACAAATTGCTACTATTATTGAGAATTATTTTTCCGGGAAATATACATCAAATATAAAATGTATGATAAAATTTCGTCAAGATTCTATTGCTCAATATGTTTATTCATATACAAATATATCATCACATGCTATTCGACGAAATATGATGATAAATTTAACAAAAGTACAATCGGCTCTTACTTTAAATGAAATTCTTAAAATTTCTAGTTAGTATAATATATCAAAGAAAAATGAGGATATATTTGCACTTACTGCGATTATTGGATTATTCCGACGATGGATGGAAGCACTTCTTTTACAAACACATCCACCAAAAGAGATTTGGATTATTTATTTTGCTTCACCTGTTGCAGATAAACTTGATCTTGAAATTAAAGAAATGCGTTCATTATTCTATAATGGATCAAATTATTGTAATAAATGGTGTATAAAAATAAATGTCAAATGAATGATACCAATAATAATGAGATTAGATCTGACTGTACCGAACAATGTGTAGAATTTTGTATGAAATTACCCTCAATGTTATTCGTTGGTATGGGAGAAATGCAATTAAAATATTTTGGAAGATTTCAACTTGCACTTCAATGTCGAACAAAATATGTCATTGTTTTTGATGATGATTGTATACCGCAAAAACGATATTTAGAAGTTGCAATGTATACAATTAATACAAAAGAATATCGAGGTATTTTAGGAATTAAAGGTACACCTACATCAGAAAGTTATTATTATGGACCTGTATCAAAAAGTAATCAAATAATTGAAGTCGATGTAGTTGGTGGAAGTTGGTTTATGGAAAGTGAATGGGTCAAACTTATGTTTCATGATAAAATATATTCATGGAATACAGGTGAAGATTTTCATTTATGTGCAAATGCACGTAAATATGCTAATATTAGAAGTTTTGTTATGTCTGTTGATAAAAATGATGATACGACACACTCATTTACAAAAGATTATTTAGATATTAGTAAGAAAGGAGATACAACTGGACTAGTACATGGAACAAAACCAAGTAGACATTTTATTAGAGATCAATTATGGTTGCGTGGTGATCGTTTGATGAGTAGTTATAAATCATCAAAGCCATCATTATTATTATTTGCAGAAACACAATATGATACTATGTTATTAATATCACTTGTACAACAACAGATGATTCAACTCCGTGGTTTAATTTATTTTGCAACTTCAAATATGTTAAAAACAGATATAGAAATGATTAAAATTAGAAAAGAGTTTCAATCAGTTCATGATTTTATGATTGGTCGTGATTTAAATATAGATCCAACACCTATTACTGTTGCAGTTGAAATGCCTTATGGATTTGATATGGTTATGCAAGATACACAAAGTACAGCAGTAATTATTCTGGGTTCTTCATCGACAATAAATATGTTTCCATTAGTATCAGCAGCATTCTTAAGAAATATTCCTATTATCAATATCTATATACAAGATAATATTATGGATTTGAAAAGAGCAGAAGTAATCATGACAATGTCGTCATTTACTATTCGAACTTTTACTAATCAAACATTTAGTAACTTGCAATCTCAACAGTTAAATAATCTTCTAGTTCATCTTTATAAATAAAAATGTAATATTCATACAAAAACGTCTTAAGAGTGGGTGTGGGCGTAAAGATGATAGAAGAATCATCATTAAGGCCACTTCTTAATTAAAGTTTTAATTTAATTTTATAAGATGACCAATATTCTGTACAAACTTAGGCATTCTATATGGTATATAAAAATAACGCTTTAGAGAAATCTTAAGAATGTGAGTGCGGATAAGGTTTTGAATGAGACAGAGGCCTACACCCACACGTCTTATCACAACTTTGATGAATAGAATATTTGTGAATCTATATTCACAGAAATATATACTGTAGTAGTGTTTAACAAATTCAACGCATGCTCTATATTGTTATGTTACAAAGATGAGTATAGTTTTGTTTTATCCAATATATATCTTGAGATGCCCACTTGACGTAATTTGTTCGATTAATATGTGGTTGGCATGTTCCCGAATTGAACGGAATATAGTGACGGCTAGTGAAAAACTGTATGATCGCATCAGCTCTCTTTGGAATTGTCTTAATAATCGCCCATTCCATCATAATAAACTGAATGTTCACCTGATCGAATATGCGTTCACCTGTTTCACATAAAAAGTGTTCCGACGTTTCGATGTCAATTTTAATTATTGCCTCATGAATTTTTCGTTCGTTAACAACTGACAGCAGATCATCAAAACGGATGGTTTTCACAACAAGGGGATCCATTTCATTTTTCGATACCTCAAGGTTGAGTCGTTGGGAACCAATGTTATTTTTAATATTTGATCGAAGTGACAAATAGGCACCTGATCGGTTGTACAATGCGCGAGGAATCAGAATAACTCGTTGTTGAACATGCTCAATCTGTACTGCTCGTCGTATTCGCTCGATATTAGGCCCAAAACATTCGATAGCAACCACTGTTGGACAACCCATTGACGCGGCATACATTGTATAAACGCCTAGATTGGCACCGATATCGAAAAGAGCTAAATGACGATAGGTGGCTAGGATACGCAGGATATGTGTTACCAAAGGTTCTTCCCAAATTCCAGCCGATGTGAGTAAACCACTTACATCTGTGTCTCGCTGAATATCATGCACACATACTGTAGTTCGATACAAGCCCAATAGCACTTTGGTTTTGACACACTTAATTGGCTCATTAGTAACAACACTCAAATCAATGCGATCACTGTCGATAATTGATGACGAGGCCAACAATTTGGCCAAGTAGTAATATTGAAAGGTATAAAGATATATCATTAGAACGCATATCATCACGAAGAGTAGTACGACAAAGGCACGACGAGACCGACATGCGTAGAGTACCATTGACTTATTTATCTATAACAAGAATAATCAAGTATTTACGTCAATATATTGAATAAAATGATTTTGTTATGATTACGAAAATAACTTGTATAATTCATTCATTTTTATTAACATCAAAAACGAAGTAGAGGAAGGATGGGTGTAGGTAAGCGTTACATTCCCATCCGCATCCACACTCTAAAAAAAGAGATCGTCTATCAAAAGTAAAATTTGCCTTACTGGTACAATGATTCGAGTTTATCTATATCAAATTTGTCTTTTCGTCACTTCTCTTCTCTAACACATAATTATCGGGCGTACTTTTTTTCTCTCTACAAGTGTAACATCTAATATATCCGATGGACAACAATCCACTGGTTATCAAATAAATATGGATATAGATGAATGAAAATAGAACCGTAACACCGAATAAACAAAATCGAAGTCTTATTGATGGAGATTATAGTGCTACGGAAAGCTCAAAAAATCGTCGTATACAAGGTGATTTTAGAAATAAAGAACATAAGAATCGACGAAAATTTGTCATACATAATCAAAATTACTACGATAAAATTCAATTGTACAATACCCATATTCACACTCACACCCACTCTTCTTTTATTTTTCATGATACAACGATTTTCTGATTGATAATATGAAGTGTAGATATCTTATGTTAGAATTTAAAAAAAAAGACAAGTAGAACTGTCACATATCATTACAATGTTTTAATATTAGTACTTGCTATAATTTTGACATCACATACCTGAAACTCTTCTAAATAAGATACACCACTAGCGTTAAATGCAACATATCGAAAGGAACGGAAACCAAGATTAAATTGAGTAGAATTAAAGATAATCTTATATTGTTGCTTATTCGATGTCGAATTTTGACTTCTTATAGTAATACCTTTCTTTGATGGATATGTAATCCACAAAAGACCATCAAAGGATAAGTTCATATCAATGTTATTTTGTAATTCACGTGTATGTCCAATTATAAGTGCAAACGAAAGATTTGTTCGAATATATAAAAAATCCATCGCAAAAAATTCTCCTTGTCGAGTATTTCTTCCGATGCGCCAACAAGTACTTGGATCGTTATCAACTGCTTTTAAAGTCGTATGATGATGAAAAAAAGAAACACCAGATCCTCTTGGTAGATTTTTTCGTGTACCTCGTTCGAAATCTTTTGATATATTAAATGGAATATGTTCGATATCAATTGGTAGAATATTCGTATAAAATATAAATTCATCATTTGGATTTGATGATTTAACATAATAAGGGAAACGACGTTTTGATGTACGAGAAAATTTGATATTATCTGTACTATTAGATTGATTCCAACGTAGATTATATTCGAGAATACGAATAGCTAAAACCGAACTTTGGTATTGATATTGAACAAAATTTGATGATGATGAAAATGATGCACCTATATGGCTCTGTGGCAAATTCCGAATATACATATTGAATTGTGATGGAATATCATTGAGCCAAACAGAAAAAAATACATCACTAAGATGAATCAAATCTATTTAGAAACATCAAAAAAATATCATATTATTTTATAAAATGTTCCAAGAGTTGCTTATATAAAATAATTTCGTATAATTCTACTATGAATTACATGTAATCGACTATTATTTGTTTTTGATGATGAGAACCTCAGAAATTGCTTAGCAATTGTAATAAGTGATAAAATTACTTTGCAAAATCAACTTTTGAGCAGAGATATTTCGAGCTCGAGACAAGACCGAGAGTCTCGGTCTTCTTGATTTTTGTTTTCCCTCACATTGTAATATTCTATTGACTTACTACGATTATCTTTTAAATAGGTGTGTAAATATTGAATATGTCGTTGAGCATATTCACGCAAGAAAATACTTCCACAACCAATCCATGAAAAACCAGTATGTAAATTAATATTTTTATCAAAATAACTCCACATCAAATATGTATAGAATGTACCTGGATCAGTAACAGAATGTAACACATATGGATCAGCTCGAAAATCAGCTATGAGACTTTTTAGATAGAATGATGGATCCCAATCATCATCAGCATAGAAACAAGCAATATTATGTGCTGCAGCACATGCACGATATTTTGCTTCATCTTTGAGATTTTCTTTTGAATTAATTACACGAATATCAACTAAGAAACGTGTATTCTTTTGGAATTGAGTTTTTTCGAGAATAATTTCTGGATTATTATTCCAAATAACGATTTCTTTGAAGAGCTTAGAATTAACTAAATTATTTACGGCTCTTGCCACACTTGCTGATCGTTTCCAATGAAGTACTATGGCACTCAACTTATACTTTTGTATAAGATCGATTTCATGTTGTTTTGATTGGAGTAACTCGAATTCAGTGAAGCCAATATTAACGTATTTATCATTATAATATGACTGAATTGGTTTGATATTTCGAGGAAAACGATACATTTGAAAAAAAAGTAAGAATGAAACCAAGGAAATGAATATAATCCCATATCTTGTATTCATTATTAATTTGTATTAAGATACGAGGTCGCATAAAGAAAACGTTTATTTGAATACAA